GCCGATGCTCATCGCGAGCGCGAGCCAAGCGCGTACCGTACAGGCTCAGCTCGATCAGCTAGCTACACTGTGACTCCGCACTCACCTCACGACTTGACTCGGCACCGCACCGTTCGGCTAGATAAGTCACCCACTCCACTCACTCACAGTCAAAAGTCAAGGGATTGAGCAGACGATCATGTACGCGGGCATCACTGATCGCAATCAAGAAATACGTGGGATCAAATTCGTGCATTGTGCAATCCCGAATGCAGCTATGTAGCTGTGCGTTTGCAGCTAGCTGTTCAGTCTTGAATAGCTCGCTCACACAGACTCGCGCGACTTCGTCACTCACGACTGTCCTGACTTGTGCAAGAGCAATGTTCGACGGTCACGGCGTGTAATGGTGCTTGATTTGGGGTGCAACTCTGACTGAGCACGCCACGGGCATGACCGACCACAGCCACATCCACGCAAACGGGGCGCGACAATATGAGCACGCACACGGGGCTTTGCAGTGCCCTTACCGTACGCAATCACCGAGTGATTCAAGCTTCGCGTGCCAGGGCACGACCTACGCACGCTACTCGGACTGCTCATGACTCGCCGGTGTCCTGCTCGGTCTGCTTGACCGCACGCTTTTGCTACTCTTTGAGTGTCCGCTGCATATAGCTATATACAGTACCAACATTCTCGGGTCACGTGGTGTGGGAGAGGAGTGGTCAGGGCAGGCATAGCCCTTTCCATACCCGAAGCGGTACCTCAGGGCACACACGACACTTGCTCGCCGCGAAATCGTACTGGACTCTGCATCTGCAATTCTCCTGCACCGCATAATGCTCGACTCTACTACTACTACTACTACTAGAAGATACTGAACGGTCACTGTAGCTGCCACACTCACGATGGTGCACAACGGAGGAGCAGAGCACAGCAGAATTGACCTGTGCACCGGGCAGATCAATGTGAATGTGAATCTAAGCATGAAGCCATGCATGATGTCAGTCGGACTCGCGTGGTTCTCAGCGCTGCCTGCGCTTCTCAAGTGCTCTCACATCTGCGTGGGTGGATGTGATTGTCCTGACCGAAAAGAGAAGAGAAGCGCATCATACACGCTCGCCTTCACAAACGGTGGACGGCACAAAGATGTTCGGATCGCTGGCGGGTGCGGCGCGGCGCGGCGCACGTGTGATCGCTCTGACTCACCACTCACGCTGTACGTGCGCACAAAGGCCTGCCTACCTACTTGCATTGCTCACCGTACGCACGACCCGCACGCTTCGATCGATCGTGGACGTGCCTGCACTGCTGCTGCTGTACAGACGATGCATGCTCCCATACTTACAGAGACTCACATCAGAAGAAGACTCTTTTCTCCTTCGTTTGCTCTCCCTCGCAAAAAAGTTACGACGAGCTCGGCAAGCGTGCATGTCATGCATACATACGGTCGAGCCCGCGTGCGTGCACCACCATATCTAAATCACCGGCCGCAATCACGATCACTCGTCGGACTCTGACTCGCAACTTGCGCGAATCGAGGTGAATGGGGCTT